ATGAAGAAGAATTCCACAAGCAACAAAATAAACGACCTTGTAAACTAGAAGACTCAGCACTATGTGGAGGTCAAAGGCAGGGTTTCTGGAGTCAGATCTCCTGAGCTCTAATCCCAGATCTGGCACTTTCTAGCTTTGTAAGCCTTTTTTCATTGAATAAACATTCATTGCTCACCTACTATGAGCTAGCAGTTTGGTCTCTGTACCTTTGGAATTAAATTCTAGTGGGAAGTACATTAATAAATACACAAAACAAGAAGAGTGCCAGATAGAGATAAGAACATAGAGAAAATTTAAATATACTGATGCAGTCAAGAGTGACCAGGAGAGCTACTTTATTTTCCTTTTTAATCCTCACCAGAGGACATGCTTTAGAAAGAGTAAGAGAGAGAGAGAGAAACATCAATGTGAGAGAGAAATATGGATCGACTGCCTTCCTTACATTCCCTGACTGGGGATCAAACCCTCAACCCAAGTATGTGCCCTGACCGGGAATCGAACCAGCAGCCATTCAGTGCACAGAGCGACACTCAACCAACTGAGCCATCCTAGCTGGGCAAGGGAGACCTACTTTCTAAAGATCTATCTAGGAAGATCTCTCAAACATGGCATTTACATCTAAATCTAAATGATAGCAAGGAGCCCATCAGACAAAGACAGGTGTAAAAGGGATGTGCAAAGGCCCTGAGATCAGCACAACTGGGCCTTTGGAGAACTAGAAGGAAGGCCAGTACGGTCAATTACTTCTGTGTGGCTCACATTTGTCATCTGTAAAACAGTCATTGTGAGGATGAAACTCTTGACACCACATCTGCACACAGTCTGTGTTCAATAAATGTAAATTGCTAGGATTATCATCCTCATCATCATCACCAATGAGATACCATCATTGGAAGTGTGCAAGCAGAGGCTGGGTAACCACCTTGCAGGCATGGCTGAGTTATATGGCCTCTAAAATTCTCTCAGCAATTAGGTCCTCAGCAATTAGATCCCAAAAGGTGGAAGAAGAAAGGGTAAAATTGTTATACGCAGGCTTCCTACCCAAGGTACTTAAAGAACACATTGAATCATGCAACAATGTGGCGCTTACCTGACTAACTCATTCAATAAATGGCCCCTTCCCACCTGAGCGTCTATGATTCGAATCCCCAGATTGTCAACATCCCCACAGGTAGCCAGCTGACACAATCTCTTTAGCCCTGAGCGCTACCCTGGTTAGGAGGCTCTCAGTTAAAACTTAACCACAACAAAACTGAGAACATCAGAAAAGGATGCCTTGTTCTATATTACCAGCTTTAACATGTGTTAGCTATTGATAGGATGAAGTAGCAATGAGCATATTCTTTGACTTGACATGCATCCCAAACCATTGTATTATTTCATGTTTAAAATGTTCCAAACAGAAATGTACACATCACAGACTCCATTGGCTATGTTTCCACTAAAAACAAACAAACAACTCTATATCTTGGCCTACTCTCTCACAATATTTACTAATTTGGTAAGCTTTCTGAAGCCCACTAATGCAGGCTGTGAAAGATGCAGTTACTGATGACAAACGACGTAGGTGTGTTTAAGTTAGGAAAAGAAAGGTCTCCGTTTACCCCACCTCAAGCTCTTAATAATTAAAGGTCATATTATTTCAAGTTCTTTTCTAACGTTCATTCAAATCTAAGGTAAATGTGGTACAACCATAAAGAAATATATGGGGTCATATATCCCCCATATAGAGTTAATGGGCTAATTGGTATACACATTTTCATCATCTACCCTTGATAATTTCATATGTCTGTTTAGAAGGTGGAAATAACATAAAAAATGTAAAACTTCATACACATCTTAAAGGCAAATAATAATGAATGAGGGCAATATAAATAATCCCAATAACGTGATGTAAAATGCACAAATATTTTTGTTACACCAGGCTTTTAGTTCCCAAATTCAAGTATTTGGGAAGGAATGAGAATGGAAGAATCTTGATAAACCAAGAGATTAAATTAATCAATTTACTCTCAACTTTAGTTTTTCCCACCCTAATCTTTTCTCCTTCCCCCATATCCAATCTCCAAAAGGAAGAAATCTAGAGAAGCAGATTAGATTTAAAATTCTTCCATCGGAAAACATCCCTTTAAAACAATGAGAAAGCAACAACTTAAGCATAGAACATGTCCAAGAAGGATCTTTTAAAAAAAAAAATGCATTATATGTGGATGATTCCTTTGAATGAATCTGAACTAAAAATACCTATTCAATATGTATATTTTGGTATACCAAAAGACATTATCACTGTATGCTAATATTTACCTTAAAAGAATCAAAACTGTGCCTTTCAGAAAGCAGAATTGGGACTAACAGGCCCATTCAAATCCAAATTTATCTACTGGCTCTTGCAACATAATACAGCCAAAAGAATGTGATTCATATCTCAGCTATGCAACAGCTAACTTTTCAATGTGTTTTGAAGTAGGTGCCACCAAGCAAAAAAAATGTAACAGTCAGAGCCTTGGCATTGAAACACTCTAAGCAATTTGAGAGCCTTTAAAAATAAGAACTAAGTAATACAGGCTCATTGAAGAACTTTAGAAAATACATACGAGCAAAGAGAGAAAAATAATAATCCCAAAATGCCAAGGTTAACACTATTAACATTGTAGTGTATAATCTGCTAAATTGTTTTTAAAAAATAATTTTCACCTAACTGAATTCATATTGCATATATTTTTACTTGACAATGTCAAGAACACATTTCTATGCATATATATAGATATATACATATCAATAACATATTATGAATGTATATTCTTCTGCTTTATGAATATACCTAATATGATGAACTCCACTGAGATTCTCTACAATCAGTTCAGAGGCCCTACACTAAATGAACAGAGTAGGCTGACCACTATTTCCTAAAATTATTTGTCTTTGGCATCCTTTTTTAATTAGAACTTAGGCTCTTTTCAAAATACTTAGGGAAATTATGACTTAACCAGTCCTCAATACTGTATTTTTATGGTGTTTCTAATTTTTTTCCTTTTATAAAAAATGTTGTGATCAACTTCTTGCTTGTGCATTTCTGTGTATTTTAGGAAATAACTCTAAAAATAGGGTTAATAGGCTAATTGGTATACACATGTTAAAAACATGTGATGATTTCTGCCCAACAGTGTATGAGAATTGTAAGTCTTTCTAAATGGTAATTTTTAATTTAAAAAACAATTTGGAAGCTATGTGCACTCATCATATATGCTTAGCATTTCGAAACTTATTCAATTACTTTTTATGGGGATGGTTAAAGCACATAGTTATAAATATCAAAGGTCTTACTGTAATAGAGGTTGACTCAGACAACTATTTAAGAATATATCTCCTCGGGAGGGGAGTAAGAGATCAACCGAAGGACTTGTATGCATGCATATAAGCATAACTAATGGACATAAGACACTGGGGGGTAAGGGAGGGTAGGGGAGTGTCAAGGGCGGGGGGGAAAAAAAGGACACTTATGTAATACCCTTTGTAATACTTTAAGCGAAAAATAAAAAAATATTAAAAAAAAAAAAAAAAAAAAAAAAAAAAAGAATATATCTCCTCACAATTTATAGAACATGACCAGCATGGATATGTTAAATTGTCTCACTTTCACTTTCCTCTGTGTTACATTTACATAGTCTGGATATATATTCTTAAGAAAATATTAATAATCCCTTATATCTACATAATATTTTATATTACTAAAATATTTAAAACAAAAAGAATTTTTGAGAAAAAAATACCCTCAGATGTTTAAAACAGGATAGTAAGCTTTAATGTACCTAAAGATCCTTCAAGCTCCACAGTAGTCACTACAAATTTAGAGCCAGGACTGGTATAACCAAAATCTTTACCAATCAACCAGTTCCAGTACCACAGAAAGAAATGTGTATCTTAAGTGTGTATGTCTATTAATTTAGAGCTGATTTTCAGTGCATATTTCTGCAGCTTCATGTCCTGAGAAATAAGCTCCTAAGATAATATAAACATGATACATGGAGCAAAACAGGTTGTATATTCCTTTTTTTATCTTAAAGTGACACTGGTTATAATTTTATACCTGAGACTAACTCTCAAGGTTACTTAAGTATAGTGTTCACACCCAGGGTAGAGTTCTGTGTAATTTTCAAAGCTCAAACAAGCCCAGCCTACTCAAAAATATCTCCCCTTGAGCCTGTCTCAAAATCATATTTGAAGCTTTTTTTAAAATATAGAATTTATTATTCAATAGGTATGGAGAGGAGCCAGTGCATCTGCATTAAAAAAAAAAAAAAAAAGCCTTCCCAGTTGATTCATTTGAACAGCGACAGCGGAAAAGCACTTGGTTACATAAAAAGACTGGGGGTGTAGAGCAGTATCTTAGGTCCCCAATTTAAATGTTCAGATGAAAACCATTAATCTGTCTTAGTCCGGTTTATTAGATTACCTAGGTGAAAACTGTACCTTGAGAAGGTTCATAAGAAGTTTCAAAGATGGAAACAGAGGTAAGAAACCTGTAGGCCTAGCCCTGGCCACCAAAAGGAATCAGAGTAAGGACATATGTGATCGAAGCAAAACTACAGAAGATCCATCCTGCCAGAAACAACGGCACCTCCTACTTTAAGCATATAATCCTTTCAACTTCATAAAATAGGCTGAAAAGGGAAAACATGCTCAGCTATATTTTTGTGTTGAAAGGGGTTAGTCTGATAAAAGCACATCATTCAACTACTGGTCCCAGTGTAACTAAACAATGCCAGTCAGCACAGGATGAGATCAAACTGGGCTGAGAAATTCAAATAGGACAGTCAGAGACACTATGTTACCTTTTATAATATAATACTCCTTTGTCAGAATTATATTTCTCAAAAGAAATTTGTCTCACAAGAACAGTGCAACACAAGCCAAAAAAAAAATTTAAAAAAAAACACCCTATGTCTTCTAAGTAGTTTATGCATATAAACCTGGCATTTTCTTAGGCTCCCATTACTTACCAGATCGGGACTTAATGATGTCACTAAATTCGTTCTGCCCGTCATCAGGCCTGGCCTCATGTTCTCCATACTTGGCCATCTTTGCTGAGTTTCAGTAAAATCCAAACACTTTACTAAATCCTCTTTTTTTTTTTTAAGACATCAATACCTAAAGAGAAAAGGGAAAGTATGGACTTGAAAAAAAATAAGTATATACACATGTAATACATATAGTCATATACAGTTATATATCATCACCATTTATTCGGGAAATATTTATTCAGTGCCTGCTATGTATAAGGCACTGATCTGGGAATGGGGATATGACTATCAAAGAGACACAGCCTCTGCCATCATGAAGTTTATAGATACTAAGCAATTAATTATACAATGAATTATTCTGATATGCTACAAACATACAAAGGAGAAGCACAGAGTAACATCATGATAGAGCAGAGGAATCTAACCTGCCCTGGGCAATTAGAGAAGCCTTCCTTGAAGAAGTGACATTTGAGCCAAGTTTTCAAAACATGAGAAGAATTTAATTAGGTAATCCTTGATTGAATTCAGAATTTTTCAAAACACACAATTTGGGATAATTTGGAAAAATCTGAATTTGGGCGATATATTAGACCAGTGGTTCTCAACCTTCCTAATGCCGCGACCCTTTAATACAGTTCCTCATGTTGTGGTGACCCCCAACCATAAAATTATTTTCGTTGCTACTTCATAACTGTAATTTTGCTACTGTTATGAATCGTAATGTAAATATCTGATAGGCAGGATGTATTTTCATTGTTACAAATTGAACATAATTAAAGCATAATGATTAATCACAAAAACAATATGTAATTATATATTCAATATGTGTTTTCTGATGGTCTTAGGCAACCCCTGTGAAAGGGTCGTTCGACCCCCAAAGGGGTCGTGACCCACAGGTTGAGAACCGCTGTATTAGACAATAATATTGTATCAGTGTGAAACTTCTTTAATATTGGTTAATGGTTGTGTCCTTATGCAAGGAAATGTCTGATTGTAGAAGACACATGATGAAATAGTTTGCAATGAAGTATGATAATATCTTCAACTTAAGTTCAAGAAGGACAGCATATATCTGTCTATATATGTCTATCTATATGTCTATGTATAAATGTACACAAATACTAGTATACACATAAATACACAGAGAGAGACATATGAAATATTAGAAAGTGACAAGTAGGGAATGTAGTTAAAGAATACATGAGTGTTTAGTCTTATATTCTTTCTAGTGTAATATTACAGACAGAAAATGACTGTGGCCTAAACCAGGGAAGATGGAAAGAAAATGGGTGGATATGTGGGATGTTTAAATACTAAATAAAGAAGGTGCATAGGATTTGGGAACTGGCTGGATATGAGAGGCTCAGGATACTAAGGGACAAAATGACTGCCCAATTTGGCTTGCGCAATTGAGTAGAGGGCGAGTTACTCACTGAGCTGGGGAGTTCTGGAGGATAAGCCTCTGCAGGAAGAAATAACGAAAGTAGTTTGGATTTGCTGAGTTTGAGGTGCCTCTGAAATATATATGTGGAAATAACAAAAAGCAGTTGGGTATTCAGGTCTGATCTCAGGAATGCTTTCAATTACATATAAATCTTAATAGTTATATGTTATGTCATTTTAGAAGGTACATCATATGAATTCTGCTGGGTACAGATATCACTCAATAGAAATAATTTTAATTTTTAGTAATTAATTAGTCATAAGCATCTTTAGAATTTAAAGAACTAAAGATTCTGTCCTACAATGCCACCTTTTCTTTAAGAATATTAGACTAGTACATTGCCCTAATACCTTCTGGAACACACTGCCCCCAAACACCCAGATAGATTCAGAATTCAATCAGCCACTTGGCTCTATCCTAAGAGTCCCTTAAGGAGACCCCAAATGCAAAATAAATAAATTAATCATTTCATTAGGAATATAACAGGCAACACTTCCAAATATTAATCTGTGAAAAATGGATGATAATTCACATACTAGTATTACAACATTTATCAGAACCAGAGTTTACTGCTAGCTAGGATTAGACATCTCAATTCTTAACTCAAGGATGCATCATATGGTATTGTTATTTTATAATATATTTCATTTTGTATATTATATACTATTATTTTATATATATTACTAGAGTCCCGGTGCACAAATTCATGCACGGGTGGGGTCCCTCGGCCTGGGTGGCAATCGGGGCCGATAGGGGCATCTTGCCCAGTCCCAATAAGGGCTCATCGGGACTGACCGGCCAGGGGAAGGGACCACGGGAGGTTGGCTGTGGGAGCGCAATGACCACCAGGGGGCAGCTCCTGCATTGAGCATTTGCCCCCTGGTGGTCAGTGCGCATCATAGCAACCAGTAGACTGGTCGTTCTGTCGACCAGTCATAAGGGTCACTTAGGCTTTTATATATATAGAAGATTTTTGTGATATGTAATATTCAAGGAAACATCATGTTATTTCATAATAATATAAATATGTTATATGTAATAATTGTTATATTTTTATCCTTATCAGTCAGAAAAAGGGTGTGTTATAATAATAAAGAGATCAAAATTACCTTAGAAAAAAGTTTTGTGTTGAAGCAGATGAAAACTGTGGTAGATTCCTAAAGTTGTAGGAACAATGTACTCTCCAGTAGGGAGGAAAATGTGGATTGTGGGTCATCAGTCTGCCAAAATTTATGAGTATAAAAAAGTTTTACATTTTTTTATATTGCTCTACTACTGTTAAGACTTTAGGTATTATTATGTGGTTACATTTCCTTTTGGGGGTACATGCCTATAAAGATTTGCTGAATTCTTAAGTGCATTTTATTATATTCAAAAACCAAAAACTTTGTTCAGAGGAATGCATATAAAATTTTATTACAGAAAATCAAGTTTGCCCAACAAAATTCTCTTAACCGGAAAGTAACTATTCCCTTTGAGAAATATTTCTAATGCTCTCCATATAACTGGTCTTAGCCAAAGGTCTTCACTTCAAAGCTTCCCAAAGATCTATCCTACTCCGTAAAAAAAGTGAACTCTCTACACAGGACTTTAATTCCTTTTCACATAAATATTTGCTGATTGTAACATTTTATTTTGCCACTCTCCTTAAGATAATTTCTCAAATTTTCCTTGCTTGATCATCAAAATCCTTTACATACTACAAAGATACAGAAGAAAGGGGGATAGATCAGAGGACAAGGGAAGAATGGGAAGAAGGAAGAAACAGGTCTAGCCACCAACTTCCACTTGTTGCCATGAATGGCAGGGGACTCCGGGTTGAGTAACATGGCAAAAAAAGATACCTTCTTCTAAATCGATAAATGCTGCAGTGGTTTATAATCGGTGGTCAGGAGACAGAATGGAAGTTTCATCACTAACAATGTGCCTTAAGGTGGCCCTCCATTTTCACATCTATGACAGGGAGGGAAGGCCATCTTCCACACACAGCTAGTTGAGAAATAGAAGAAATGAGTGGGATATTGCTTTAGAAGTTTTAAGCCCTTTACAGTCATTGTAGCTTTTATTGTTATTTATATGTAATTTATTGTTACCATTGCCCTATGTTTCTGTGCCCTGATAAGGATGTTCGCAAAGGTTAGCCAGATCTTCTCACTGAAACCAATACACTCAACTCGAGGTTCACCAACATTTTCCTGGGAACATGTCTGGCTGTCCTATGGACCTGAAGCCATGAGTGTGTGTCAGTCAATAAACCAACCTGGGGTGAAAGCATAGGGGATGGCCTTCCAAGGAAAGTTTTAATTTCAAAATAATATGGGAATTACACAATGTAAGAATATAAAGATGTTCAACAATGCACAGTTTTGATGGAAATGTGATGCTGATCCTTGGGCAGAAAGTATTCATTCATTTACCCTGGCGACCCAAACCCTAGCTAGAGTTACGGCGAAGGGAAGCCCAGGGGGAAGGAGTTTGCCACTGGGCTCGATACATAGTAAAAGACACCACCCAGCGCCAAGAACTGCCATTCACTCTCGGAAGTGCTCCAAGGGAAGGTGAATACTACAGTGATTAATACTGTTTACAGGGCAATAAATTGTATGTAAACACCCAAAGGGAAGTTAAAGAGCTGTCTCATCGGGCCCATAAATAAGGGGAATGGCTGCGTAAGCCCGGGCCCTCGCCGCCGCCGGGAACTCCGGAGGCTGAAGCCCCCACGAGCTTCGCATTCCTCCAGCTCCCGCCTGGCCCGCAGCACCATCCGCCCGCCGACGGCGTCCCCCGCGCCCTCCAGCAACCAGCCGGACGGGCCACCCCGACTTCCTGGGGCCCGTGCAAGTTACTGAGCTATGGATGCGGCTGCTGTCGCCAGGCCAAGGGGCGGGGAGCTCCAGTCAGGTCCCGTGGACCAGGGACTCCCCCAGACTCGTGCCCTCGGGGCCGCAGCTACCGTGCCACCGACACCCCCGAGAGCCGCGTGGGAAACTGACCCGCGAGGCCCTGGTGACCCAGGCGACCAGATGGCTGGGGAAGAGGAGGCTCACCCCGGGAATCCCAGAAAGGGGCGCCCTTAGGTTAGACCCCGGGCTCCCGTTCGATGTAAAACAAATTGCGGTCCGCGGGCTCCAGGAGGTCGGCACGTTTCCTCCTTCCCTAGAACAAGTCCCTTTCCGGGTCTGGGGGGAAAGTCTCTTTTAACAGCGTGCCTTCTAAAAGTTGCACAGCCTAAAATCCGTGCTTTGAGGGGGTTGTACGTGGCCTTGGACAACCAGAACCTCGGATCCGGGGCCAAAGGTAGGGCATGAATGACCTTACCAGCTGCAGAAAGAGATGCCAAGAGTCCGGACCACGCACCGCCCCCTCTCCGGAGCCCCACCCTCGCGAGCAGCGCCGGCCCGGAGGTCTGCACGTTTCCTGTCAGGCAGACGGCTGGGAACTGCTCCCCAGCCCGCCGACCACGCCACCCTCTCCTAGCGGACACCTCCGGCCCCGCCCTCCCCGGCCGGGGCGTGTGTGACAGGCCACGTCCCCTCCTGCCGATCACTGCCCTGCGCCCTTACCGCGCGAAGCACGGATTCGGGACTCTCACCCCGGCAGAAGGGGTTGGGGGCGCCCAGCGGCAGCCCGGGACCTGTCGGCGGAGTGAGGATCCTTCCCTACTAAACGGATCCCCAGGACCTCCTCCTCCTCCTTGCTCCAGGTGTCAGTCATTCTCTGCTCCGCCGCGGGGTAGCAGAACTCAGGTCCCCAGGAAAGTGTACGCAAAAGTTGGTTACATCTCAGCCTCGGGGTGGAGAAGGAGCCTCAGGGGAGCCCGTCCTCCCCGCAGCCCACGCCCGGTCCCCCCGGGGCCGCGGTCACATTACCCGGCGCGGCGCCTCAATAATGCATGGACTTACCTGCTCCCGTGACCGCGCGCCCGCCTCGCCTGCCAGCCGCCGCCGCGTCCCCAGCCGGCCGAGGGCTCGTTTGGATGTGTTTCGGGTCGCAGTGATCGCGGGGGTGGTGGTGTGCAAGCGTGAGTTCTGTGGTGCAACTTTAAAAAAGAAAAAGAAAAGAAATGTAGAGACCTAAACGTGGTCCGAGAGGGGAAAAGAATTTTGACACCCGATTAAAACTGCCCCTGACTTGTGCAACCTTCCTGCCCAGTAGTTCCGCCAAAAACAAAACAGTCCTAGTGCAAACCTGGCACGGGCGCGGAGCACCAAGTTTGCCAAACACCGGAGAGTTTTCCGTCTGCAGAAACGGCCCCAAAGCAGGGGGGCGCCGCTCCCGGCGGTTCCCCGATCGGCTGCGGGAGCCCCGGCTCCTCCTCGCCCCGCGCGGAGAAAGCCCGCGGCAGGCAGCGGCCGCCCGCTCTCCGCCGCCGAGCCAGGCGACTCCCCAACTTCGGGGCGAGCGGCTCGCTCCTCCCGGTTCCCCCTCCTCCCGCTCCCCGCCCGCAGGCCTGCCCCTTTGTTGGAGCGGAGCGCTGGAGGCAGAGGAGGAAGGGTGGGGCGCAGGATCGCTCCGTGGCGCCCCCCTGGGAACCGGCTCGCGGCCGGGCACCCCGGGGCGCGGTCTCCAGAGGAGGCGGAGGAGGAGGCCGAGCAGGTCCAGTTCGCCGGCCGCCGCCGCTCCAGCTCCCCGCCGCCTCCCGCGCCCCGCCGCCACCAGCCCAGCAACTTTGTTTCGGGAGATCAGCCCCTCTCGCCTCCCAGTTCGGCCCTGGCCCCAGCCCGGCCCAAGCGGCCACCGCCGGCTGGGCTCCGGGGAACGTGGCGCCCAGAGTCACCTGACCGCGTGCCCGGTCGTTGAGCGCCCGCCCAGCGCGCCCTCCCGGCCGGTGGCGGCCGGCCCTGCGCTCAGCTGGCCTGGGGCTGCGGCGCCCCCGCGGCTCCCGAAGTCAGGAGCTAGCCTCCCACAAGCACAATCCCCTGTACTCAGATTGTCTGAAAATGGGAGTCACGCCCCCTCCTCAGCCACACTGGCTAGTTCTGGTGATATTTTTCTCCTTTAGAGATAAATTCCCACTTGCTCCTCCACTCACTCCGTCTCAGTTGGCTGGCGTTCCTGATTTGTTGGCCCTACTTCCAAGGGTATACTAGTATTTATTTTGTGTAGTTTTCTTAGTGTCGTTTAAGTATTAAGAAAAACTTGAAATTTCGTTTTATATTGATTCATGCCTCCACATAGTGTTTATGCTGACCTTATTTTCCTATTTTTCCAATGTACACACACACGCAAACACACATACATCTATCATAGAGCCCATCTCAAGGCTGAGGGGTTGGTTAAAAATATCTGGGGAAAAAGGAGTTTGTGCTGTGTGTGCCTTTTTCTTATTCACATACTTCACTCCCCGTGTGTTTCTGTGATTCTTTTTACTTGATCATCATGCTGTGGAGGGAAAGAAAAAAAACAACCTAAGTTGCTAATTGGTATAAACAAAGAGGAAAGGTTGATTGATAAGCAAGCTCTGGGCTCTTGCTGGTTTAGTATTTTCAAGTTAGTAAAAATAAACCCTAGAGCCTTAAACAATTTTTTCAGAAAGAATGCACTAGCCTTTTATTAGTTACAAAGTGCAAGTTTCCCCAGTCCCTAACTGCTGTGGAGGCGTAGGAGGTCCTGAAAGATAGTCTTTCTTCAAGTCTCTAGTTTAACTTCCTTCCTTGAGGGTTTTTCTTCATATAATCCAAATAAAATCCAGAAGATTAATTTGAAATGGTTATAATTCATTCACTTTTTTTCATTCATTCATTCATTCATTCATTCAACAAGTGCCAATTTGGGGCCTGCCGGGTCTCCTGGCACTGTGAATGATGCAAGTAAAAATCCCATAGAGATCTTACCTTATAGAACTTCAAATCTAGTGAGATAAGGCATGTAAACAAGTAAGGCTATGCAAGATCAGCAATAAGTATCAAAAGAAAATGACAGATCAAGTGTTACTTGAGTCTGGCTGTATTAAGGGAGACTGTTGTTTCTTTGAACTGATAATTCTACAGACCCTTAAAAGCTCTCATTGGGCACTGTTATCTTGCTTGTTGAGTTCATGGAAACTCAGATTTCCTCCTTTAAAATAAAACCACATTGGAGTGTTTGAGGATTTTGTTACTTAAAATTATGTAAGTGAAAAGCACTTTGTAAATTGCAAAGTGCTACACAAATATTTAACTCCAAGTTTTTGAAAAACACCATCATTTGGGGACCTAGAATTTCTGAGTTTTTAAGTTCTGAGGGAATGTTTAGTTAAAATTTCCCCAAAGGCTGTAAGGAAAGGGTTATAAGGGACAGCAGCCACCATCTGTGCGGGAGTGACTCCACCCCATACTACAGCTTCAGTGGCTTATGGTGTGTTACCTGTGCTCAATCTGTTTCTAGCCCATTCCCCCTCATGCACAGACTTATAGTCTCTGTAGGCCCTGGACGAGAGAGAACAGAGAACTTCCTATTGATGAGATGACCATGAGGACCCAAGCAGGTCCTGTTCCCTGTGTCCTGTGTAAGTGGGGAAATCACACTTAATGGCAGATTCTGACCACCGAGGGCTACATTTCCAAAGAGCAGACAGTATCATCTTCCTCCGAAGCCTGAGAATGGAGTTGGGGGGAAGTGAGAGATACCTGCAACTAACATTCCACCTGCAGCTCACACGGCAGGGGCGTGGGCTTGCAATGACCGTGCTCAGTGGGGCTGTGTCTGCCCACTCCAAAGATCGATGTAGAGCCTTCAGAGAAAGTGATAGGAATGTGGCCCAGGGTCTACCAGTAACCCAACAGTCGTCACAGAACAGTGAAATTTTAAGAAAATTGAACTTCTATCACTGGCCTAAAGCCCTTGACATAGGAGAAAATCTTACGATATGAGTCGTGTATATGTAGATTCATATATAAAGATATATGCATATGTATGTATATATAATATGCAGAGAGACATGATTCTACATAGATATTGTTCATATATAAAGAACAGCATCCTAATACAAGAGCCAAAAAGGAAACTTTCTCTACTAAACTTTGTGCAAGGGTACACAAATGCAGTTTCTGTATAAGCAACAGAAACATAATGTATAAAAAGCAAGACACTCCTCCAGTTTTACACTTGGTGTTGACTTTGAATAAAGCCCTACATGAATGCATTTAAGAGAGGGACAAAGGTTAGGGAATTTACCTTTTCTTATCTTTTTCAGGTCAAGAAAGTATAGATCTGTAGCTTACATATAATAGCTACTGGAATATTTGCTGAAATTGTTGCTGAATTCTTCAGTCCAACATTTAATACTTATTATGCAATTTGAAGATAGATATAACTGAAATTCTTTGTGATACAATTAAGGGGAAGAATATGATGACAATGATGAATGAAACTTTTAAGAATAATTAGCACCAAGGAAGAGTGTCTTACAGTGTAGTGAGCTAAAGAATCACCAGGGCCTGGACTTCCAGTCAAGATGGTGGCTTAGGTAAACTCTATGCTCCCCTCCTCCCACATCCACATCAGAATTACAACTAAATTATAGAACAACTACCCTTGAGAACCACCTGAAGACTAGCTGAACAGAACTCCTATAATTAAGGATATGAAAAAGAAGCCACACGGAGACTGATAAGAAAGGTAGAGACTTGGAACAGGCTGGTCCCCCACCACGTGTGGTGGTTAAGAATCAGAAGGCATATCTTGGGTGTGGAGGCCCCCCTCAGGGCTCCCAGCCTAGAGCAGGTAGCAGGAAAAGGCGTCCCCACAACAGCTGTCTAAAAATCAGCAGGGATTCCATCCAGTTGAGGTGGAGGGCTACTGGGGACTCAGACATTCCCTCTTAAAGGGCCTGAGCACAGACTCACTTGCCCACAAATGCTCGCCCTGAGCTCCAGAGAAGGGATAGCAGCTTGAACAGCTACAGGGACATGTGGGGAGGGACTGAACTGTCTGGCTTCAGGGGGAGGGCTGGAAGGGCAGCTCTCTCTGACATAGAAGTGCTGGCAGGTGACATTATTGCTTGGTTGATCCCTCCCCTGACACAGCCAGCAGGCACAGATGGCACCATATCTGAGTCTCCATTAACCTGGTTAATACCACTCTAGCCCCACCCTGGTGATTTTCTGAGACCCCACCCAATTCAAGCACCTGGCTTGAACCTCTGTTAGCAGTTGTTCCTCACAAACTGCCTACCTCAGCCCACACTGCAGACTTTCCTAAAATCTCTCTAAGGTCCGCAAATCCAAACAAGCAGTGGCTGGCTTCGGAAAGCGCTGTACCTCCTGTTAAGAGGCCCCCAACACTAGTGGCAGCCAGCCTTAGCTCGTAGCACAGTGTCTCCCAGGCACCTCCAAGTCCAGCACAGGCAGCTACCAACCTTAGATCACTTTGTAGTTCCTATCAGATAACCCCCCGCTGAGCACAGGCAGTGGCTGAGCTGGGCCTGCACTGGAGCTTCTCCTAAGAGGCCCCAAAACCAACACACCTAATGGCTGGCTTCAGACCACACCAGAGCACCCCCCAATCAGCTCCACAAATGACACACCCTAAAGGTGAACTCGGCAGGCACCAATGCCCCTGTAAAGTGAATCCCATTCTGTGGGGTCAGCCCCAGAACAATAGCTCATCCATAGTAACAGCCAGTTCTCACTGTCAGGCAGCCTGAGGGTTAATCCCACTGACGTGCCAACAGCAATCAAGGCTCAACTACAATATGAGGGCACACACAACCCACACAAGGGACACCCCTGGAGCACTTAACTCAGGTGACCAAGGAGTCTGCAGCAGATCCCATAAGACCCCTGCTATGTAAGGCCACCCTACAAGACTGGGAGATGTAGCAGATCTACCTAATACATTGAAACAAACACAGGGAGACAGCCAAACGGAGGGAATAAAGAAACAAGTCCCAAATAAAAGAACAGGACAAAACTCCAAGAAGAGTTAAACAAAATGGAGGCAAACAATCTACCAGATACACATTTCAAAACACTGGTTATAAGGATACTCAATTAATTTAGGAGGGAAATAGATGAAATCAGTGAGAACTTACACAAAGAGATAGAAACCATAAAAAGAACAAGTCAGAAATGAAGAATACAATAACTGAATGAAGAATACATTAGATAATATCAACAATAGATTAGATGAAGCAGAGAATCAAATTAGTGATTTGGAAGACAGCGAAACATCCAGTTGGAATATGAAAAAGAAACAAGAATTTTAAAATGAGGATAGTTTATCCCTAGCCAGTTTGGCTCAGTGGATAGAGTGTCGACTGCGTATTGAAGGGTCCCAGGTTCAATTCCGGTCAAGGGTAATGCCTGGGTTATGGGCTCAATCCCCAGTAGGGGACATGCAGGAAACAGCCAATCAATGATTCTCTCTCATCATTGATGATTCTCTCTCTCTCTCTCTCTCTCTCTCTCTCTCTCTCTCTCTCTTTCCCTTCCTCTCTGAAATCAATAAAAAAAATATTTTTAAAAATAAATAAAATGAGGATAGTTTGAGACCTCTGAGACAATATCAAGCATAACAACATTTACATCATAGGGGTACCAGAAGGATAAAAGAGAGAGTAAAAATTGAGAACCTATTTGAAGAAATAATGACTGAAAACTTCCCTAACCTGGCAGAAGAAATAGACAAGTTCAGGAAGTGCAGAGATTTTCAAACAAGATGAACCCAAAGAGGCCCTCACCAAGACACATCATAATTAAAATATCAACAGTTAAAGACAAAGGGAGATCTTAACAGTAGCAAGAGAAAAGCAGTTAATCATGTACAAGGGAGTTCCCACACAACTATCAGCAGATTTCTCAATAGAAACTTAGTAGGCCAGAAGGGATTGGCACAAAAATATTCAAAGTGATAAAAAGCAAAGACCTACACCCAAGATTACTCTACCCAGCAAGGCTGTCATTTACAATCAAAGGAGAAATAAAAAGCTTCCCAGGTAAGAAAATGTTAGATTGAAAGACACACACAGACTGAAAGTAAAGGGATAGATAGAAAAAGGTATTTAATGCAAATTAAAATAAGAAAAAAGCTGTTGTGGCAATATTTATATCAGACAAAACAGACTTTAAAACAAAGGCTATAATAAGTGATAAAAAAGGACATTTCATATACAATAGTCAAGATACAGAAGCAACCTAAGTGTCCATCAATAGATGATTAAATAAAGAAGATGTGGTACGTATATGCAACGGAATATTACTCAGCCATAAAAAGAATAAAATCTTGCCATTTATGACAACATGGATGGACCTAGAAGGTATTATGATAAGTGAAAAAAGTCAGACAGAGAATGACAAATACCATGTGATTTGCCTTATGTGTGGAATCTAAAAAACAAAATAAACAGTCAAAATAGAAACAAACTCATAGATACAGAGAACAAACTGATGGTTCCCAGATGAGAGGGGGTGAGGGGTTGGGTGAAAAAGGTGAAGGAATTAAGAAGTACAAATTGGCAGCTGCAAAATAATCCTGGGGGTGTAAAGCACAGCACAGGGACTATAGTCAGTCGTGTTATGTATGGTGCCAAGTGGGTACTAGACTCATCAGGGGGTCACTTCATTACTTATGTAATGTCTAATATAACATTGGATGTCAGCTGTAATTTTAGAAAGATATAAAATTTTTAAAAAATAATCACCAGGGAGTATATTTTAAATTCAGGTTGCCTGCCAGCTCCCAGCAATTCTGATTTACTAGGTCTGGTGGGGCCTAGGAAGCTACAGTTTTAACAAGCAACCCATGAAGTTAAATCACAACGGTTGGGGAACTGAATTTTGAGCCACAATTCCCTAGGGGCCTCAAATAGGCCACTTTCGATGAGTGGAGAGGGGTCTAAAAATTGCCTTTTTCACACACAAAAAAAACACACAAAAACTCCAAACTGGATCAATCATAATTCAAAATACCCACCATTAGCCTTATCTTCTTTAATCCAAGTGTTTCATTCTGTTGTGATCACCTTTGATGTTCATTAACACCCCAGGAGCATTCTGGGCAATTCAACCTGCACTGAGGTACAAAGCCTGCCAGATACTTTTAAGAGGCATCTGGTGGCAGGAGGGCAGGCAAGAGAGGACTGTCGAGGCCGTAGGAACTCAAATGCAAGGTCCAAAAAAGCCTAGTACCAAATAAAAGCTGTTAGGGAAAAAAGAGCAACTGATAGATTCAAATGAGAGAATATAAGAGGCTCTGAAAGAGAAAGAAAAGAGGAGAGAGGAGTGGAGGGGGTCTGCCCACTGAGAACTGGAGATCCTTCTTGAACCACACAGGTGCCTTGTGTTGGGTTTAGCATACTTGTTACTTTTACTTGGTTTCATTTACTTTGTATGTATAACTTTATAATGTTGGTACTGGAAGGGATTTTGCAAGAGTCCTTCAACCCTCTAATTTTGTGTATAAAGAAACACATGAAAGATGCAAAACAGTCTAGAGAGTTCATTTAGATAAAATAAAGCCATCTACTGGGGGGAATGCTCAAATTATGAAGAAGTAAAAAGAGAGCATTTCTATTATATTAGTTTATTGTTAACCTTGAGGAAGAAGAGGAGGTGGAGGGAAAGGAGGAGGAAGGGAAAGGAGGAGGAAGGATAGGAGAAGAAGGAGGAAAAAGAGGAGGAGGAAGGATAGGAGGATGAGAA